ATTACACCAAATCTGACTGTCTGATAAGAAGGTGAGCTTCTCTGATATTCATCCTCATTACATTACACGTATGCGGGGTTTCCTCACCTTCAATATAAGTTCCCAATATGTGACATAAGCAATCTCAGGTGTGTTCTTTGCCAGAGAATAAAAGGGAGCTCTAAGCCCAACTTTTCTCAAAACAATCATTCAGAGCCATGACATTTTTGCCAGAAACGTCCAAACAAGTCAGTTGATCTTATTCATCTTTTCCAATTTATAAGAAAACATAAAGATATTTATTGAGTGTCACTTTTTTTTTTTTTTTTGCAAAAATTAAATTTTTATTGCTAAGAAAATTCTCACACAATGCTGGTGGGAGGGCATAACAGTTTTGGGAAGCAGAATTCCATTGCTTATTGATTTTGAAGGTAAGTTTATCTTATGACTCAGCAATTACGAATTTGGCATATAAACACAAGGTGACTATATGCTGGTATATGAGCACTAAAATACTCATACAAGAATGTTTCTGGAAGCATTGATTGTGAAAGTCAACAATAGAAGTATTGTCTGTCATCTGTCAAATGTCTATCTAGATTGAGCAAATTAATTGTGATATTACATAGAGAGAAATGAATAAACTAAAGTGATGCACAACATGATGGATGCATCTCACAAATTAATATTGAGCAAAAGAAACAAATTAAAATTTCATACATACAATATGATTCCATTTATGTACATTTTAAAAACAAAATTAATCTATGTTTTTTAGGAGGTATTAACAAATGTAAATGTTACAAAGCAAACAAATAATTTGGTAACACATTCTATTTGAGAATTGTGTTTCTGATGGGAGAAAGGAGTGTAAAATTAGATAAAGGTATTAAGGGTGGGGAGATTGATAAGGTCCTGGCATTGTTTATCCAAGCCCTTTGCCCATTTTTCTAAATTGAATTATTTGTATTTTTGCTATTAGATTTTGTGAGTTCTTCATAAAGTTTAGATATTAATCTCTTATCAGATCTAAGATTTGCAAGTGTTTTTTCCCACTCTGTAGGTTGCCTTTCAGTCAGTTGATTGCTTCTTTTGTAGTGCAGAGGATTTTGTTTGATATAGACCTACTTATTTATTTTTGCTTGTTTGTTTCTTGTGCTTTTGGTGTCATATCCAAAAATATTATTGCCAAGATCACTGTCAAGAAGCTTTTTTTTTTCATACAGAAAGTATATGGGTTCTTGCTGGGGTGCAGCCCCAGCGGGTCCAGGGGTTCCCAAAGGTGTGGACGGAGTCAGTGAGGAAGGAAAGACACGGAGGCAGTGTTCAGGTGATCATCATAGCCAGGTTCTTCTTGAGTGTCACTTTTAAAAAGCAATTTAAAGACATCTGCATTGCATTGTCTACCAACAAACTGATTTAGATACATCATACTTTCCATTTATGTATTTCTTCCTCTTTTATGCAAAATAAGCAATTGGAGTTTGTATGAAAAAGCCTTAAAAATAAGAAATTCTATGATTATAATCATCACCATCAGGTGGCATATAGTTATTATCCAAACTGGACACTGCTGAGAGGGAGGGGGACGCTATCAATAATTCTGCTGGGCCCAGCTGGAGTGGCTCAGTGGATGAGTGTCGAGCTATGAACCAGGAGGTCACTGTTCGATTCCTGGTCAGGGCACATGCCCAGGTTGTGGACTTGATCCCCGCTGTAGGGTGTGCAGGAGGCAGCCGATCAATGACTCTCTCTCATCATTGATGTTTCTGTTTGTCTGTCTGTCTGTCTGTCTGTCTGTTTTCTCTCTCTCTCTCCCTTCTTCTCTGAAATCAATAAAAATATTAAAAAATAATAATAATTCTGCTGGGACAACAGGTGTAAACCAGGACTCTCCTGAGCAAATGCAAATGTATGGCCAATAGATTGAGCACATTTTACAATCACATCATGTGGCACAGCACTCATCCTACATCATCTCTTAGATTCCAGCCGTCACCTGATACACACGTAACACTGCACCTCCTCTTCCTTCCACTGTCTCACTTTGACCTGGGACCAGCTGCTAGAGATGCATTCTTGGGCTGCTATGCTTGGCCAATAGCCTCCTATTCCTCCACTGTTTCAGGGCCATAGATGGTTCTCACTAGGAGCTGTTTGTTCTTTGATATTTTTTCTCTGGCTTGCACCAGGATGGCTTAGAAATCTGCTATTTCTTTGGTCTACGGAATTCAGGAGGACATTCTTCTAATATCCTCACCAAGTGTCCCTTATTTTTAAGAAGAGGTAGAATTTGGTTCTCCCTTGAATGCTGTTTTCTTCTCAGGGACAAGACACTTTTAGAGAAAGTTTTGTGTAGTCATTAGGAACTCAGGGTGAGCAGTCAAATGGACTAGGCCAAATTTTTGTTCTGTCAGTTATTCATAATTCTTGGACCCGCAGTTTTCTCACTTGAATATTGGGGGAAATTGAACATCATCTATCTTAGGACTAGCAGTAGGATGTATGTAGCTGTGATGTTACCAGGAAATGCACAATGAAATGGACAGTCCAACCTCATTAACTATTAGAGGCCTGGTGCACGAAATTCATGCATGGGTAGGGTCCCTAGGCCTGCCCAGTGATCAGGACTGATCAGGGTTTTCCGGCTGCTGACCAGGGCCTTCCTTCTGGCTGCCAGCCGGGGCCTCCCTTCATTCCACGCCGCCGCCTGGTGGTCAGCGCACGTCATAGCGAGCGATCGAACTCGCGGACAATCCCAAATTCTATATTTTGTATCCCTTATTGCCTACTTCTCTATTTAACTATTACAGTGTTATGATCCCTCAAATCCTTTCTGGAGTAAAGAATAAACTAAACAAACAAACAAAAGCACTGACTTCTGTGTCAGCTCTGGAAGGCATTCAGTGTGTGCCCACGTGCCATGTCTTTCCAGAAGAGAGGACCGAGAGCTCAGAGAAGGGACGTGCCAGATGGGTCCACATGCGCAAAGGGGCATTTCCCTGGGGCCTCAGGAAATCTCAGACCAACTAGTCCAGGCACATGTTTCTTAAATAAAAATTTTCAAAGTAAATTGCAATCACTTGAAAAAGTTAATGAAATATATTTTCTCCATAAATGTTTATAAATGTCTTTAGAATGAATAGAAACCAAGCTATGTACAAAGGCTGAAATAGTTTTCAATGGCAAAAGACTTTCAAAGATTTCTTTCCCAGACCTACTATACTACTGCCCATCAACAATGACAGGGACTCACATTTTACATGCCAGATTGTAAATGACGTCTGTGAAGTTGTATAGATTCAACAGGCATACCAGCCCAAGTGAAATGGGGCCGTAAACACCAAATAAATAAATAAATAAATAAATAAATTGAAAACAAACTGGCTATCCTGTGCGCTTAAATGTTCAATAGCCACTGTGAATGTGAGAGCCACCAAAGCTGAGAAATAAATGTTAACGGATAGTCTGTAAGACTTTCTAGTGCACCCCTATAGCCATCTACTCTGTGTAGTGACAGTAATTCACTGTTTTATAATACACACTGACAAGATATAAAGTCTTCAGTTAGTGTAAGACTTCTGCCCCAGACTCTTAACATCTCCTTGTACACATTTAATAAAATACATCCTACATATAAAAGTAAGTTTGAGTCTGTTTCCCAGGCCTATAGTTTGCTCTATAAAACAGCAATTAAGGTTATCATGCAAACAAAAAGGTGAAGTTAGGAGACTAACAATTGTACCGTAGCCTCGTCTTTGACCATCCCCAGGCCACATGCTGCCCTAGAAGTGCTGTGCACTCTGCTCTCCTGTGGGCAGGAAAGGACCACACTGGGCAAAGTAAGGTGAGCTCCTAGGAGTACGGTTGGCTTTCATCTGATCATGCCATATGCCTATGGACCTCTTGCTGGGTCTATCCCGTAATCCCACTGGTTCGAAAGAAGAGGACAATGTGACAGGAAAAGTGACTGAAAAGAATTTCCAAAGAAGTAAGAACCTACTCGTGACTTCACCTGTGGCGAGAGCAGCTTTTGGCATTTGAGATGGCTTACAGAATTTGCATTCTCCCACCTAAAACAACTTGTCTCAAATAAAAGTACTGTGACATTTTCTAACTATAATCACAGCAGGAAGCGTTATTTATATTCCGAAAGGAAAATAAAACATAAGTAGATGAGATTTCTGTTCTTACATATTTTCATCTGGCTTTATTGCTCTTTTCAATAAAATGGTATTTTAAATTCATTTAAGAACTATATGGCTAAAAACAGTTAATATTAAGAACCATTTTTACAGACTTACTGACTATACCTGCATTTGTTTCCTGTATTGTGTTAATTAACGTGTGATTGTTTGATCCCCAATAGATGGGACGCTCCATGAGGGCATTGCCTGGACACAGGAAGAGGCCTCACTGACTTAGTATAAACCACTTAGCTCTTTTTATTCTTCTCAGCTTATGATAATCTATTAGATTAAAAATATTTTAAATGCCAGTTTCAAGGCCTCCAGAAAGTAAAGGATTTAATTATTAATCATTAGTGATATTAAAATATTTATATGCCTTTTAGTTCTACGTAATTGAATTCAGTGAAAAGGAGAGTAATGGAGGCAGTAATTTACTTGGCATATAACAGCATTATCGGTTTATGTGAAAACATAAGGCTTCAGACATTACTTTCTTCTGTGACCCCATATGGATGTGTTGAAAATCACTTGTGTTAACGGAATGATTTTACTTACAGCCACTATAAGTGAAAGCAGTTCATGTCTCAAATTTGAACTGAATAAGAAGTCTACTGCATGAGTTACCCCCACAACAAAACTGTAAATCTTAGATCCACTCTAAGTGCTCTGTATACATTTTGGTTAGAGTTAAGAGTACTATGTATCCAAACCGATATGTCCCTTTGGGGTGTGTTATTTTCAATTCACGACTCAAGGCAAAGGCGGGGAATGATTTGGGATGAATAAGCAAAGGGATGTTCTGCAATGTGAGACTTGAATTCATGATTTTACCTGATCTGCCCACGAACCAGAGGTCTGTTCTTTGTCCTATTCATGTTTGAATCAAACGGCACCTCAAAAAACTGCAAAGAAGTTGAAAAAAGATAAAAAGTATTAACTATAAAGTGAAACAATTCTCCTCTGCTTTAGTTCTATAAATTTCCCACAGTAAATATCCACAGTGAATTCCACTTAACTTTGATGGGACACATTAACCCTCTTGGTACTGTTTGGAGGAAAAGTTCCCGGAGAGACGCATTAAACATTATCTGCATTAATTGTCAGGAATACACACAGGTCCTCTGTTATCCACTTTGAAACCATGTAAACATACAGTTGAATGCCTCAAAGCCACTGTTTCAGGTTGGAAGAGGGATACTTGCATCTGTTTGACATAAGCATGGTTTTGCTACTGCTCTATTTGGAAGTTAAATGTGACTGAAAGATGTACCCAAGTGCCAGGCCTACACGGGTGAACCATGATGGCCATGTTGTGTCAGGTTAGCTAAGCCGGACTACGCTGCCCAGAATGCCGTTCCTGTTTACTTGTAGCTCAGGGACGGCCACAGGAGATGCTGCCTGAGACCTGGCAGATGGGAAGCAAGCGCCAGCCGTGTTTACGCAGGGAAACTGGGGTAAGGTCAGGCACTATTGCAGCTCACACACACGCGTGGGTCTGCTGTGTCGCCTGCAGCACTGAGGCTGCAGCCTCCCCAGTTCTGGCCAGATCTCAGGCTTCCAACAATCCCTGCTCGTCCACGTCTCCCTATCTTGGGACGAGTCCCCATGCTGCTCCATGAAGTGCACCAGCTCTTCTGCAGTCCCTGTATCATCCAAGGTGCAGGCTTGGAAGCTTGAGAGACACACGGTTCCATTTGTTCTCACGGGTTTCAGCTCACCCTTGCAGACTGCAGTCGCTCTCGTTTTCCTCTGCTTTCCTGATGATGGCTCTGCTGACATCAGACCAGCACCAGGTACAGGTCCAACAACATTGCAGAGACCGCCCGCCTCCCAGGACCACATCCCTCACACCACTCCTCATGGTCCTGACCCTCTCATCAAACCCTAACTGATACAGGCTTCTTCCCATACTTTCAATAAGGCCACTATTTAAACATATTTAACTTCTCAATAAGTTCATCTTATACAATGATCTAAATGGCAGGCTTCCTGAGATATGTGAATTTATATTCTTTTTAAAAAATATATGTTTTTATTGACTTCAGAGAGAGAAAGGGAGAGATAGAAATATCAATGATGAGAGAGAATCATTGATTGGCTGCTTCCTGCACACCCGCTGACTGGGGATCGAGCCCGCAACCTGGGCATGTATCCTGACCAGGAATCGAATCATGGTCTCCTGGTTCATAGGTCAATGCTCAACCACTGAGCCACGCCAGTCGGGCTGAATTTATATATTCTTGTTAAAGAGAGCTATGCAAATAGTTACTCAAGAAGTAATTTGTTAAATAAATCATCAGTGCAAAAATATGTATGTTTGCAAATCGCCTTACATTCATTTAAAAATAATACATAATTTATGTGTTAAAACATTCTTTGCCTGTAAGAATATTTATTCCTTACTGAATTAGTTCAAGTTACACATAATTAAAATGTTCTGTCTGTTGACACTCCCTCCCTTCCTAATATTCAAACACATTCTATAGGTATTTCAAATAATCTTTCCTTCCTGAACATTAACTCAATTTCACAGAACTAATGAGGATTGCAATGAAAAATAACATTATTTAAATGCTGGTAAGATGTTACTTATATAACACAGAAACTCTTGTATTAATAGCTATCTTGGCAATTCTCAAGTCAGTGTGTGTGTGTACATGCAAGTTCCTAGTTCAGGAATTCTAATGAATTATTTCATCTGGATGAAGAAATATATTATTTTTTTCTACATTTCTGGCAAATCCCACCCAAAGATGGGAACTAAGGGCTCGACCGTGTCAACCGACCTGCAGGGCGCATCACTTGGCAGCCGCTTCTGACTCCACGAGTGCTTACATTTATTCGGACAAGCAACCTTGGGGCAGAAAGACCATGCAACTGAGACTGAGGACTCATTCCAGCGAGGGCTGGGCAGTGCTTCTTGGCACTGAGGGGCCAGAGCTCGCCACGTTACTGCATCTGTCTCTCAGGTGTTCTCTGTAATGCCTTCTAACAGTTAGTTTACTGCTTTGGTTTGGATATTTAAACCACACCTCTAAAACACAAACATAGTATATTAGATGAGAAATTTAAACACTTTAGAACCTATAGTTTGCTTTGGGCTATTCACATTTTTTTCCTGTGCTTTATAATAATGTGATTATCATTTCAGTTGGATACAACTAATTCCATAAAAAGAGCGAAGTAAAACTCCTTTTATATGTGTTGAAAATAAAATACAAGTGCACTATTACCAACCCTTAGAATTTAATATACTGTTCTTTCCCTTTTACTATTTCCCCACGACTTCACATGGTATCAGAGGTAACATGCTGTGTGAGCCCACCTGGACAGTGCTCACACCACACTGGTCAGGGCCGAGCGTGTGCTCCGTCTGCCTTCTTTTAGAGCAGCGGTTCTCAACCTGTGGGTCGCCAACCTGTGGATCGCGACCCCTTTGGGGGTCGAACGACCCTTTCACAGGGGTTGCCTAAGACCATCGGAAAACACATATATAATTACATATTGTTTTTGTGATTAATCACTATGCTTTAATTATGTTCAATTTGTAACAATGAAAATACATCCTGCATATCAGATATTTACATTACGATTCATAACAGTAGCAACATTATAGTTATGAAGTAGCAACGAAAATAATTTTATGGTTGGGGGTCACCACAACATGAGGAACTGTATTAAAGGGTCGCGGCATTAGGAAGGTTGAGAACCACTGTTTTAGAGGCTCTGCTCATTGGATCCCAAATGGCCTACCGCCCGGTACCTTTTCTCTGCGTCCCCTTCCCCTGATACAGTGATTGGTTTACCAAGTAGGTATCTGATTCAAACTGGGCCAATGGGAGTCTTTCCTAGGGATTTTACACACGAAAGCCCAGGACTCTTCTCTTAGGGTACAAAAGAAGTGGAGGTGAGACCCAACATTGGCACAAGGATAGAGAGAAGTGGAGGCGAGACCCAGCATTGACTCCTTGGGTCAAGTTAGGTCCATGGCTCCACCTCTGCCCTTTCCAGTTTACGTCAACCCTATATGGGTCTACACTTCTTGCCTCCAATGTCCTAATATGTGAAGACTAAAAATTTCAAACGTCTGAGCAACGTACTACACAGAAATGAACACCATGCTTTCTCCGTCCCGTCAGCACACAACTTATTTTCTATGTTACATTTTCAAAAGAAAAAGTTTTTCTCCACATCTCTTTCTTCATAAAAATCCATCAATCTTTTTGAATTCTTTTCATTTTTTATTCAATTTCACTGCCTCACCATCTTCCTTTCAATCAGCGAGATAATCCTTCACATTTCTTGCCTTCCAACAATCCTAACATCTATTACTCAGGCTCTTGGGTTGCAAATAGCAAAAACAAATAAACACACACACAAACAGAAAACAACCCAAACTAGCTCAAATTAAACTGGGGCTACCTCTCTTACAACAGGCTGTCCGGCTTCAGAAACAACTGGATTCTCATTCCAGGCCTGAATCTGCATGGTGTATTCCTGTACGCAGGCTCTTTCCATGAAGCAGGCGAGATGTCGCAGGCAGGCCCAGGCCCTTCCTCGAGCAACCCGAGCAGAGTGGTTGGCTCCCGATGGCTCCAAAAGAGAAGTCCAGAGCCACCCCGGGCACACACCATCCTGGCCAGGGCACCAGTGACGGTCCAGTGTGCACGGAAGGGTGTGGGTGGGAAGATACAATGACACGGTTCCCACTAAAGCCACAAGTGTTATTTTTTCTATAGAAAAGAAAAATTCTATTACCAGAAGTGGGAAGATATCAAGCAGACAGTAGTGAAATTATTTAAAACTCAGAGTAAAGCTGACAGCCCCAAGTCAATTCATTTCTTATGTGTCACACCTATAAAATAGCTTGCCTATCGTGGGAGTATTCTTAGTTTAAGTACCTGTAAGGCATTAATCACTGTAAACAGCCTTAGGAGAGGTTAATATAAATTATGTTTACAGTGATTTTTCAAAAACTGTATTTTATTGATTTTAGAGAGGAAAGGAGAGAGATAGAAACATCAATGATGAGAGAGAATCATTGATCAGCTGTCTCCTGCTTGCCCTTTACTGGGGATCAAGTCCGCAACCCAAGCATGTGCCCTTGATCAGAATTGAACCCGAGACCCCTCTGTCTGTAGGCCGACACTCTATCCAATAAGCCAAACCATTAAGGCAGTTTAACAGTCCTACTTAACGGGGTACTACATGGATCATTCCCCCCCTTATAGTCACATGATTAAGACATAGGACACTATTAATATCAATGGATATATATTTATTAGATACCTATTATAATATTTTTGCTTTCTATTATACTATGGTTTTGGATTAGTAGGTAATTATTATTACTCCAAAGAGATGATGCTCAGCTATAGCATATGCATATAAATCTTTCTAAAAGACAATATACACTTACGATATTATCACATTTTGTAAGCTAAAATGACAGATACCTAAAGTGGACAGGAATGTAACTTGGCCCAAGGGATGAACTTTCTGTCCCTACTTTGATTAATTATACTCTCTGAAAAAGTAGATGTAGTGTAGAGATGTTTGGCAGGCTCAGAAAATATTTAATTTGATAATGAGGTAAAACTTTTTTTTTCCCTATGCTAAACAATGACAGCAACATTCTTTCTAAATACTGAACAGAAAACCAAACACTGAACCTTGTCAGAGTTTGTTGTTCCATCCATCATGTGTCTGTCATTCCAGTGTGTCTCCCATCTTCCAAGTCCAAGATAATGTCTCAATCAATCTCAGACCAAGTTAAAGGGATGCTGAACAGAATAAATAAATAAGCAGGGAGAGGCACTGTTTCCAGCAGGCCTCGCACACCACACTTCAGCGTACACATCAGTTACACACCTGGTCAGCCATTACTTTGTCCTTGTCACCA